ATTTTTTTAACTTAAGTTACCAAAAAAACATTAAAAACATTACATATAATGTTTATAAAACATGTCCAACATTTTGGAATTTCATCTCCAAGGGAACACTACAATTTAATTTTAATCCTGACGCATTCGCCATTTTTAATAGTACTTATTTAACGGATGAACGAATTTTTATAAAATTTGGTATGAAGGTTTTTTTAGGTTTTGGAACAGGATGGGAATGGGACGGAAGCGGGATAGAAACGGGACAATTGTTGGCTTATTTAAAAACTTCTTTTTGGATGGAGTAAACCAAAACTTTCAAAAGATAAAACAAAAATGGCCAACATGCCTGCATCGTATTAGAATATTATAACAAAATTCACACAGTAGCATAAATTTCAAAAATTATTGTAATTCAAAATTAAAAAATTGTGAGAAAAATCTGCCCAGTAGTATAAATCTAAAAAATGGAAAGACAAATTTTCAAAATTTTCAAATTTTTAAAATTTTTATGTTTTACTTGAAAAAGCTTAAAAGCTCAAAAAACCAAAAATTTTAAATAGTTTCTCAACGCCAATACCTATTAAAAAAGTTTATAAAAACATTGTCCTGACTTTTAATTTTGCCGGAAGTAAACTAGATTTAACTTAATTTCGGGTGGAGACTTCACCGTAGAATGCCCATAAAACATTTTTTTCACTTTCACTGTGAAAAACTGTTGTTGGTCCATTTTCAAGGGACACCTTTCGATTTACACTTAAAATTTGACAATTTCACCGGCGCGCCTGTTACACATTCCCAAGTTGGTTACTCTATTGCTTTATAGATGTCGCTCTATACAATTATTTAATTTAAACCACTTTTAATAACATATATAATAATAATAATAATAATAAGTATTTGTTGTAGATGTGATTAATGCAAACATTGAAACAAGTATCCAGATTTTCACTTCTCTTTTTTGCACTTATACCCTTTTGATTCTTACCCCTTTATATGTTTTAATATTCAATTACGCATATTTAGATTTATATGCTTTTACAAATTTATTTTATTTTATTTTGACCAATTGTAAAACCTAATGTCAAGGAATTTGTGCCTGTTTAATATTTTATGCTTAACGTACATAACCTATACCTATGCGAAAACAGACATATTTTTTCAAACAATAACGTGATTCCTTTATAGAATAAAATAATGCAACAAGAATTTAAAGCGATACTTTTTTTAAACCTTTTACGCTAAAGAGGTATCGGGTTGTTCATCATTTTTAAATAAATAGGTAGTTTTTTCACAAAAGAGAGGAAGGCAGAAGTCATACTAGACAAATTTTGTTCAATTGCACAGCTAAATCGCGCACGTTATTTGTGTTTTACGTTGCAAAGAAAAAATTAAAAAACTTTTTTGGTACTAATACCTATACTATACTAGTACTTGGTACTAATACCTATACTATACAATTTTATCTAAGGGATCATGGTGAATTAAAGTGTTTTTAATAATTAAACAATTATTGTAAATAAAATTCAAGAACTAAATCGTTGCATTTTCATGTTTTTCCAAAGAATTAAGTAATGATAACTTTACCTAATATAATTTATATTTAAGTTTGGACATTTTTAAAAATTAGTAGACATTTTTTTTTGCACAAACATAACCTTAAAATCAACCATTTTTATATTTGAGTTCTTTAAAAAACGCCGACAACTGCGGAATTTTAAACAACAATATATATCTACGAATTCAAGGCAACATAATATTATATATAATAATACATAATATAATGGTATATACCGTTGAGTGGAGACTTTCTTAATCAACTCTTTAAATAATGCTAAATGTTTAAATTTATTAACATTTTCCGGTTTGTTACATAAGCGTTTGACAGCTGATTATTAAAAGTTGTACTTTTGTTACGATTATAACAGCCGAGTGGTGCCGTTACTAGCTATACTTCTTTAGCGTATAGTGCCAAAAAGTGGCTTTGGATTTGATTTGCACACATTATTTTTTTTCTAATACCTACCAAAATGTTATTCACAATTATTTTATTTTGACAGATATGTCCAAACTTTTTTTAAATTTATTTATGCCGTCAAGGAATAAATTGTTATGTTATTGTTAATATTTAATAACAATAAAAACAAATTTTGTATAAAAATAGTTCAACTTATATTATATTTTTTTGTATATCTCAGTTTACGTGTTTTCCGAGAAAATATGTTTAAATCTCTTTTATTTAATAATAAAAAACGGTAAAAAATAACTTTTAGGGAATTTTTTTAAGTAAATAAAAAATATGCTGTTAAAGACCATATTTTTGTAAGTATAACCTAAAAAATTTGGACAAATCAAACGAACAGTAACGAAGATACAGCGCTTCAAAGTCGGTAAAAATTACCCCTTTTGGATTATTTTGCTGAAAAGTGGTCATTTTTGACGACTTTGAAGGCTGTATTTTCGTTACTGTCCATTTGATTTGTACAACATTTTTAGGGTATACTTACAAAAATACGGTCTTTTACAGTGCTGTATTTTTATCCAAAATTTTATAAAAATTGGTTAAGGCGTTTTAGATTGGATTTTTTTTTACTTGCTTTGCGTTAATTTTGACGCGCAGTGTAATTGTTTTCTTGAATAAAAATTATATAATTTAGGAAGTATTATGTGCTTATTTAAAAAATATTTTTTTGCACAGTCAAAAATGACCTACTTTTGATACTTGAAAGTTAACAAAAAAGCCGACTTTTTGGAATTGGAAAAAGTATATTTTATTTTAGTTCCATTGTACAAGGGAACAATAAATATATCGATCCGGAAGTTTATGAATCATAACTGGAAAAATGGCGTAAAAGTAATCGCAAAATAAATATTTATGAGGTTCATACTTCATTCTTATTTTTATAGACCGAAGGATTCAATAACGTTTATTATCGAGCAATTATCTAATCAAATCTATACGATTAAGGTTTTTTTATTTATACCCCATTAATTCTTATTGTCAACGTGTCATTTGTTGGAAAAAGTTCATTTAATCGGTATGTGTGTGACAGTTTGGTTTATGAGTGCTAATAAAAAATCCGAATATCTGACAATAATTAAACGGAAAAAGGTTTTCCCGAACGCCGTTTGCAAACAATGACCTCCAGACAATTTCTGTCACGACCTTCACCCAAATGTTGGAAACTATTTGCTTGATCTACTGATAATTTTATCGATCACCGACCACAAATCCAAATGAACGCAATATAAATTTTATATTTTTTAACGGGGAAATTACGTTGCGACAAATTTACCTCGGAAGGTTTTTACTGATGCCTATTTTTTATTATTTTGTGTAGAAACCCTTTTTTATTTGTTTTTCATTTTAATACTAGCATAGGATGTATTAACAATATTTTTAAATAAATGTATATCGTGGTCTAAAATTGTTAAAAATATTTAAATGTTGAATTTGTTTTTTGACAACTTTGGCAAAATATCCGTATCAAGATTGACGTAGAATTAAGAAAAACTGAGGAAATGCTCAGCGGTTTTTGCTGGTCTTTCGTTTGTTATTTGTCAGTCGGATTCGGACCAAAAAAATACAAACATACAAGATTTTGAAAATAAATAACAATGTATGGTCGAAATTAAAGACATTTAAATCTGTGGGGCTCATTCACCATTTTTGTAAAACAAAACATAATAAACGCAATAAAAATAAATTTATCCAGTCAAATAAAATTATTAAATTATTAAATATAATTTGAAACACGATCAAATTAAAAATATAGTAAAAATATTGAAAAATGATATATTATATTATAAATTACATACTTGTAAAGAAATCTTACAAGTTAACAGTTATGAAAACAAACATTTTGTACGGTTTCTGACAACAAATTAAAGGATTTTAATGGGCGTTTTAAATGTATCATAAAATCATGAAAGATTCCTATATACAGGAAATACCTATCATTTTGTAGAATTAAACTTATTTTATTTTTAACTTTACCACTACAATATTGACCAAGAAAGTGATATGGGTAATAAAACATTTTTTAAATTACCTCGAGCATTAAAATATACAAAATAATTTCTATTTTTATTCATGGCCTAAATATATTGAAACTCTTTGTTTTTATGTATAAAACTATATTTTTTCATTGTTCGAATCGATGAGAATAAGACTGTGTACAAGTCCAAAAATATATTTTGTCATTTTTAAAATTAATTTTAAAGTTCAAAATACATTTTTGTAAGAAGATGTTAGGCATTTTACAGAATATCAATATTATATTTTATAAAATAGTTATATTCTCACAAAAATGCATTTATAACTATAAATCTTTTAATTTTTTAAATATTTAGTCAAAATTTTAACTTTTGTTCTTAATCTCACCGATTCAATTTAGATTGTAATTTTATATAAGAAAAAGTTTATTAAAACAAAATGGTAAAAATGAATTAATAATTATTATTATAAATATAATTTATTATTATTAAGTTATGATTATTTAAAAATAGCCTACATAAGATACATCTGTCAACCATGTTTGTTTCCATAAAACCGATGTGTACTTAATATTTTATATATAAATACCTACTACACACATAGTTTTACCATGCTTTAAAAACTTGCTTAATATCTCAACAAAATAAAAAAATAAAAAGTATAGTACCTATGCAACTAGTTTATAAACTTTTCTAGACACTCATTTAATTAAGCACTGGCTCGCAAGCTTGCTAGTGCCTAAATTAAATTCGTGTCTAAAATGGCGTTTATCCAACTTTATACATATTATACTATTAGTTTACTGGTAAATTAATTTTATATACATATACATTAAAATGTACTCTCTAAAAATGAAATAGTCAAAATTCTACTATTTGAATTAGTACCAGCATTTTTTACTAATAAAATAGTCGTTTTCACTTTTAAATAGTTATTTTTTACTATGTAAATAGTTAAAGTTTGACTAATTTAAGATTAGTCACCATATTTGACTATTTCTGACAGTTAAAAGTAACTAATTTCTTTAATCGTTTACGGCCAACAACAAAGTATTATTTGAATTAAATGCATATACCTCTCCATGCAGTAGCGTGCAAAGGTGATCGGGGCCCCCCCGCAAATTTTGAGCTGGGGCCCCTTTGTCACTTATACCACCCAATGTGGTTCTCTACGGGGCCCCCCTAAGGTCGGGGGCCCCCCCGCACCGCGGGCCCTGCGGGGCCCGTCCTGCACGCCTCTGTCTCCATGGTTAAATGACCCATAAAACAAATAAAGATGCAAAAAGTTTAGCTCAAAATAGCAACACAAATAATATATTAAACTTTAAAATATTATGAACAATATTTATTGACAAATAAAATTAATTTTTATAAGAGCGGCTGACAGCCGAATGCGTTAAGAGGTTAGCTTGACAAACTTGTCAAGTGACAGACCTGAGTTCAATCCCAGGCTGGGTCAAAACTTTTTTTAAATTTAAATTTACTAATTTGACTATTTCATTCAGTGGAATTTGACTAATTATTAGTGACTGCTTTTTCACTATGAAAATTAGTCAAATATGACTTATAATTAGTTATTTTTGACTAATTCATTTTAAGAGAGTAGGTATATTAATACATTTATTTATAATATAATTATCATTATAATTATTAATAAGCATTTATTAATTAATATCTAATTAAATATGTACAATTGTACTAAATGGACAATATTTTAATTTTTGATATTATTTTGCAGATACTAAAAAATTATTATTATTATTTTCGTCCCGTTTCAAGACCTAAGACACCTTCAAACAAGGTCCTTTATACAAAATTGTATCAAAATCCGTTCAGCCGTTAAATCATAACATGTAGATAAATATGTATATATATGTATCTATAGATATAAATATGTATATATATGTATCTATAGATTACTAAAGTGTTCAACTCTTAAGAAATTGCCAATTGCTCAATTAATGAACACTTTTTAACTTATATAAAGTCTATTCAAATCCAAGCTGGACTAAATGTAAACACAATCCTCCGAATCGACCAATAAGAGCTCACAATCCGAGTCACACCATCAGAATCGACGAGTGATCACGCGTCTGAGCGTTTTTGTTTAGTCCAGCTTGGATTTGAATAGACTTTAGTATAAATACATTTTTCTAACTTACCGTCATCAGCATATGTTTCCGATCCGTATCCGTCTTGCAGACCATTGGCCCACGTTCCCTCGTATTTGGCAGTCGATGTGTTCGACTGTCGAACCCCGTATCGCCCCTTAAAACCCTGTGTCCACTCGCCCCTGTATATCCAACGGCCCCGCGTTTCCACTCCCAGACCGTGTCGTTTGCCATTTTGCCACTGGCCCTCGAAGCAACTCCCACTAAAAAAAAAGAATAAAAATTTTATTAAACAATTTTTTATAGAAATTGGTCAAATTGGAGGAGTTTTTATATGGCAAACAAGGATGGTCAAATCTTTATTGCTAAAACTTTTCTATTCGATATTTTTTAATTATATTTTAATGTTTTGTATATATTTTTTATATATATTACGCTCGTAAAGTTAGGCTAAGAATTTTAGTTACACTCTGTATAGAAATTGTTGACTTTTTTATCATAGTAGACATAGACACTATATTCAGTAAGATGCCTTATTATTAATATTTTATCTTCAAATGTTAAAGGCATGTATGTTAGTTACGTCATAATTATTTTATGTCATAATTTTAAGATTTTATGTTACGATAAAACTAAAACATACCAACCAAACCAACTAACCCAACCCAACACTTTTTAATAAAGAAACAACAAATTTATGAAATAAAAAAATAAAAAAATTCCACAACTTCTGAGTATCGAACTATGTACCTCTCGCATGCTAAGCAACCGCCCTACCATCTGAGCTATCTAGCTTGACATTAATTTCATAACACTCGGGGAACAAAAACGGATTATTATTATGACGTAACTAACGTGCCATTTTAAATCGCGGCACGTTAGCGTGCCTCTAGTCACAGCGTAATTATTAAATATTAAAAGTAGAAAGTAAGGTTAGAATGGATCTGAAATGGGTTTTTTAGTTAAAGATAAAATATCTTTTATCTTTCTATAATTTAAACTTTATTATTGTCAGCACTTAAAATTAATTCCTGGGCTTTAAAAAGTTTTTACCACCTAGTCTATAAAAAACCGTTTGGACTAAACAACAAATTCGACTATTCTTAGATCTCCACAACCTCACTTTCTACTTTTAATAATTAATATTATAATTGTACCTTTAGCAAATAATATTATGCATTAAATATAAAATGCCATACGGCATTGTCTTTTTGTGCCTTGCTCAATTGTATATCTCCGCTACTCGTCGGGATTCCAACTTTGAACTCAGCACAAAAAGATTAACTTCTTGGCCTAACTATTAGCATAATACGCAAAATTTTAATTCAGAGTGAGTCTTTTTGTGCTGAGCTCCAAAGATTGCAGCCGTGGCAAAGCAATTGAGCGAAGTTCGGAATAAGCAATTCCACATCTATTTAGACTTTACGTTTTCTAAGTTTTCGTTAGACACAAATATGTCGCCACCAGTGTTTATTCCATCATCCAGTGATAAAATAATTTTGTTACACTTTAAGGAATATATGTAATTCCACATTAAAAAGTGAATAATAATAATAATATATAATATTATAAATAAGAAAAATAATAAAACTACTTAATTTAATAATAAGAGCTGTATTAGGGCTATTAATATTGATATTATATTATTTTCGAAGATAAAAGATTTTTATTATAAAATAAACTATTAAATAAATAACATATTATTTTATTAAACTAAATAAATCTATAATACATTTCCTAAACATCACAGTACATGAGTAAATAAATAAATTTTGCTTAAAACTAACAAATAACGTTAAACTAATTTAATCAGTTTAAGATTTCCCTGCATTTTTTTTAATCTTTTTTGAGTGGTCTGATGTGGAAAACAAATTGTATAAATAGTTCCTTAACTGCGACGGTGTCAGGCAATGGCTTATAGCATCTCCAAAATCTATCACAGGAATAAACAATGTCTTAATATTGGGACATGGCTTGGCACTCTCCGTTTCTGTAGACGTAATTTCTTTGCTGTCGAGCGCAGAAAAAGCCTCCAAACTATCTACATCTGCAGAAGAAGTTGTTGATTTAACGCTTTGAGGTGTTAATGGATAAACGATGTTTGTGGAGTTTCTTCTAGGGTGTTTAGGCTTCTTCCCACATACATGGGCAGGGATGGTTGAATTTTGTACACATTTTGTTGTAGGTTCTTCTTGTATCATTTGTTCAGTAGTTGGTTTTAAATCATCTGAAGTATCTTCTTCCAATGATAAACTTTCAGACATCAATTTTGGTCGGGATTTTTCTTCGAATTCCTGCTCAGGGGTTGTTAATTGTTGATTTGTGGTTTCTGGAATAAATGTTGTTGGTACTATAGCTTGTGGATTATCACTACTTTTAGTTAAAGGGTCGGTTTGGGTTTCAGTTAAATCTGGATATACAGTTACAGTTGGTAACGTTGTATCATAACTTGGTGCACTTTCTGTATCTACATCATCATTTTTTAATAATTCCGGGTATGGGGTCGTTTCTTTAAGGCTGTTAATTTCTGTTGTGATTGGAATATTTGTTAAACTTTCTGGGTTATGACTGAATAATTCTGGATATGGAGTCGTTTCTTCCTGTCTGTTAATTTCTGTTGTGGTTGAAATAAATGTTTCTATTTCTTGTTTTGTAGTGGTAGATTCCGAACTCAGTGTACTTGTATCATCAGTATTTATTAATTCCAGATATGGAGTCGTTTCTTCTTGTCTGTTAGTTTCTGTTGTAGTTGGAATATCTGTTTCTATTTCTGGATTTGTAGTGGTAGATTCCGAACTCAGTGTACTTGTATCATCAGTATTTATTAATTCCGGATATGGAGTCGTTTCTTCTTGTCTGTTAGTTTCTGTTGTAGTTGGAATATCTGTTTCTATTTCTGGATTTGTAGTGGTAGATTCCGAATTCAGTGCACTTGTATCATCAGTATTTATTAACTCCGGATATGGAGTCGTTTCTTCTTGTCTGTTAGTTTCTGTTGTAGTTGGAATATCTGTTACTATTTCTGGCTGTGAAGTGGTAGTTTTTGAATAAATTGTGCTTTCTGTATCTGTAGCATAAGTTTTTGATAATTCTGGAAATGGTGTCGTTTTTTCTTGGCTGTTACTTTCGGCTGTAGTTGGAATATCTGTTTCTATTTCTGGTTTAGTAGTTGTGGTTGTTAGTTCTGTATACAATACATTATTTGTTGTTGTTTTTTCACATACGGTAGTTTCTTCATCATATATTGGAGTTGTATCTCCTAAATCTCCTAAGAAGTAATGATCTGAACCATACCAGGTTGTCACATCCAAATTGGGGGTAGTGATTGGGTTCACAGTTGTTTCATATTGTGGAGTTGTTTCTGTATTTTCATCTCGTTTAGAATTTGGACGATTTACGTATTGGGAGTTCACATCAACGTTTGAAATTACTAATTGTGAGCGGTCATTTTGAGACAGATTTGGTTCTGTTGTATCTGTTATGACAGTATTATTACAATCATCCTTTGTAATAGTTATTATCTCATTGGTTCCATTACCAGTGCTGTTGTTGTGGCAAATTTTAATCTCAACGCTGGGTTTACTCATTTTGTTACACTTATTTAGAGTTGATATTATATCTTGTGTTCCGGTTAAGTTCTTCTGGTTATTGATAAGGTGTGTCATGATATGGATTAAATGCTCCAGTAAATAAGAATTTTCCGACGGATTGATCCGGTAGGTTGAACATCCGCATTGTGGCTTTGGAGCGGAATATACACTTACTACACTAATAAACAGAAATACCGCAACCAGGTTGTTGGGATACATTTTGGAAAACTAACACACAAAATATATCAACAAGTTTATATAGTGTTCAATAATGAGCGTGATATTTGGCGATGTTTAATTTTTTAGAATGTAAAACAACGAACCTAGGGTCATGTTTTAAACTTAAATCAATTAAAATATCATTGAACTTGGCAAACATTATTTTTAATCCGTTTAAGGTGTCTTCTTGGAAGGTAATCTAATATATGTTTTCATTCGAGGAATAATGTTAAATGAATCGAACGATGCAGTATTATTTAAATATGTACTGGCCTAGGTCAATAACACATGAAAAGATAATAAATACACACGCAAAACGCGTTGATTATGTAGCATTAAAACAAAAACACAAGAAACAACAAAAATACAGATTGAGGTAATCAAATGATTTTGTATTAAATTGGCTGTGACTTGTTTTGGATGTACATAAAACAAAATAAAATCGTCATTGCACTTCCAACCAATTTTACGAGGCTACTCAAAATAACTATGACTAATTAACAGAACCTTACAAAACTTTTTGGGTTAGAACATTTTTATGTGTAACAACTGTTTTCATAAGTTACAGCCAAAAATTGAAATATTTTTTATACAATTTAATATTCATTAACAAATATTTTAAGTTATTAGACCATTTAATAATTTTTAGGTATAAAAATTAGAATTATTTTAATTATTAATTGTTAAAATAATTATTACTTTAGTTTAACTAATAAAATATAAATACTTGCAAAAATGATGCTCCTATAGGGTAATATAAGGGTGATTCTACACAAGTTGGACAACTTGATGTCATCAGTCAATAGAGTAGGTATTTTAATATTTTTTGTAAATATTTTAGTATATTACAAAAGATCCAGGTTTTTTTAACTTGTCCAACCAATTTTAATGTATTTTTTTCAAAAGCACGTTTGTAGAAAAACATAATAAATATTCAAAACATCAGTACCTTGGCGTGTCACAACTCCTGAATCAAATATTTGAGTGATTTTATTTTAAAATATATTCAATTTATCTTAAATTTTTCAATTTCAATACAAAATATAAAACATTAAATAATGTATTCTTCATATTTTATCATAGATTCGAATAATAGCAGTTTTTAAAAAATTGATAATCTAATCTGTACTCACTTTTACCCGTCAGTTCTGTGTCCAATGTTAAAATTCAAAATTCCTGCGAAATATTAAAGTTTAAACGTCAAGTCCTCGTTTTAACTCAAGTGTTAGTAAAAAATTACCTACAGAGCCCGCCCTTTGCACGACAGTCATCTTGAAAACATTGCAAGCGGCGAAGTTGTGGTGAATGCACGTATAGTTCCAGTCAAAATTTCAGTACTGTGGTGAGTAGTTATTTTCTTACGTAAATATATTTTATTGTGATTTGTTGTAGCATCCACTATAGTATTATAATAAAAAATTACAGTAAAAACTTAATTCCGAATTATAATCTCA